TCAATGTCTATTCCTCCATCCATTTTTCAATACTTGTTTAAATAGGTCAAGTTAGAGTTATTTTAATTGAAAGCTATATTTTTTTTTTATCATTTTTATACTTTCCTCTAACTTTGTGTCTTCATCTTTGATCTAATAAGCTAGAGGTCTGACCTTATACAGACAGCTGATTAAGAAATAACTCTCCGGTCAGTAATGAGTCATTTCCTGTCTGTTAAAGGGGTAGGAACCAGACCTGTGATTTCAGTAACATAGGGAATTCCCAGATGAGGAAACTTCTTCTACTGATGCAGGTTGGCACCTCTTCTGCAATTTATAGTCTTAAAGAATTGCCTAGATCACTGAAAGGTTGAGTGACTTAGCCAGAGTTACATAGTCAATGTGTGTCAGAAGTGGGAATTGAACTCGGTCTAACTATCTCCAAGGGCCAGGTCTCTAGCCACTACTGCAGAAGGGTCAAATTCAGGGCTGCAGCCCACAAAACTCCCAAGTTTGGCCTGAATCAGTTAAAATTAATTGGAAAATGTTTAACAAAAATTTAAAAAATACAAAGTCAATATGCAGCAGGAAGGGATCAATTTCTATTTAACTTTGACACTACTGCACTATTGCACACATTGCCTCTCTCATCAGTTAAAATATAATCAGTTTCATTTTTTAATGATATTAGATTCTTACCATGTCCAACACCTTACCATTCTTTTCTCAGAGAGAATATTCCTGATGTATATCTGTGAGGCCTCTACATATTCTTCGGTCTTTGGTCCCCCTCATTTCTTATATCTGAAGGATATTTTCCAACACATTTTTCAACACCTTTATGTTGAAGTCGCCAAATGACAAAGTATAAGTTAATTTAATTTGGAGCCTCTTAGTGAGTTTTTTGTAAAATCTCTCCATTTCTTCTTCCTCTACAAACTTTTGTTTTCTAATAAGCTGCAGTCATCTTCCTGGTCAATGTTCCTGCAAGTATTCACCATGAACACTACAATATGAGATGATCAAGAGTCCTCTAAAATGATTTTTCTTGTTGCCTTTAATGGACAATAAAAACAACCTGGCCAGCACCTTTACTTGCTATCTAAGGAGAATCTGTGAGCCAGCCTACTGTTTCTTTACAACTTAATTTTGTTTTCTGGCTTTGTTTGTGGCAAAAACATAAAGATTGGTATGATTCATTTCCTCTTATATTAAATTATTAGATAACACTATTATATTTATAATTCTTACAGATGAATCAATGTTTCTAGATAATTAAAAAACAGTGTGATTCTTAGCACCTTCTGCCTCTTTGCCACACACACACACACACACACACACACACACACACACACACACACACACACACACATACACACACACACACACAGTCCCTGCAGAAAAGGAAGAAAGCCTTTGAGGCCTGAGGGCCATTTTCTGTCTTTATTTGTTTCATGGATTGAAATGACCCAAAACTTCATCACCAAGGAGCAAGCCTACTGGTGAAGAGATTCTGGGTGCTTATGGGGATGGTTAGTCCTGAGGCTAGAACCCTTTCCAGCCAGCCTTTAATGGCTGGCATAGCCTTCAAGAGCTCAGGGTCACTTCTCTGCCACACAGAGACATCAGAGTTAGATTATGTGAGTATAAATAAACAAGCAAACAAACAAATAAGTGAATGAATGAACAAATGAATAAAAATAAAAATAATTTTAAAATTAAAAAAATATTGTGTGAGTAAATTTAAAGTCTTACACTTGATTTCAAGAAATTGACTTTACAAGTACAAGATAGCACAGAGGGGGTTAGATAACCATATGTCTGAAAATGATGGGTGGGGAGTGGGGCAGTGGAGGGTTGGCAGACTCAGTAGGAGTCAACAGCCAAAACAGTGAATGTGCTCTTGGGCTGCATTGAGAGGGGCACAACTTCCTAGAATAAAGAAGTGATGGGTACACTGTCCTCTGTTCTGGCCAGACCTCATCTGGCATATTGTGTTCAGTTCTTGGCACCACAGTTTAAGAAGGACATTGATTGAGAAAATGAAAAGCATCTAGGGGTGGGCAAACAAAATGTCAAGTGTCTTGAGTCCTCTTGACATATAAAGAACAACTGGAGACTGGGGATATTTGGGCCAGAGAAGAGAAGGCTTAAGGGTGGAGGAGGGGCATGATAACTTGTCTTCAAGTATCTGAAGGATAGCCACCCTCGGGAACATCCCTCTTCCAATGGGCCTGTAAGACATGAGCTGCTGCCATGATTATCTTTGGTCTAAGACAGAGACAGACAACCATTTATTAAAATGCTGGCATTATTAATAAAATTATGAAATTACCCAGAAAAAAAGTATCTGAAGGATACTTATGTATAAGAAGAATTCAATTTTCTTCTCTTTGACCCCAGTGGGCAGAGCTAAGCAGTGGGTCAAAATGAGAAAGAGGCCCCTTTGGACTTGGTATCAAGAAAAACTTACAATGATATCTGCACCAGAGTGAAATGGACTACTTCAGGAGATAGTGGGTTACCCTTCACTGGGAATCTTCAAGCAGAGAGTGAATGACCACTTGGGTGATTTTTACTGAGAATTATTTTTCTGGGATGGTTTGGACCGGATGGCTGCTAAAGTCCTTTTCAACTTTTCTGTTCTGTTGTTTCACTAGTGTCTGACTCTCCACGGCCCCATTTGGGGTTTTCTTGGCAAGGATACTGGAGTGGTTTGCCATTTCCTTCTCCAGCTCATTTTACATGAGGATGAGGAAACTGAGGCAAATAGAGTTAAGTGACTTGCCCAGGGTCACACAGCTAGTTAAGTGTCTGAAGCTGGATTTGAACTCAGGAAGATGAATCTTCCTGATTCCAGACCTAGCACTCCATCTACTACCTGCCCCTATTTATCACAATATCTATTCAAAATTTTATCTTTTCTCCTCAAGCCTGTCCCCTTTTTTAACTCAAATTCTGTCATTTTACAATATGGATTTGCTCAGGGTTACACAGTGTCTGAGGTAGGATTTTAACGCAGGGCTCCTAATGTCCAGTGCTCTACCCATTAGACCACGCTGCCTCTAACCATCATACGAGTTTGTAAAATTTCCTGTTCTCCTGTGACTTTCAACGTAACCCTCTGAAGGGGTCAGACCAAGAATTATTGTCTAGTTTTACAGATGGGGAAATGTAGTCCCCAAGCAGGGAAGACATAACAGTGGCGATAAAGTCAGAACGCCAGTATTTGACTCCTGGCTTATATACTTGAGAGCTATGTAACCTTCTCACAACAACCCTGCAAGGTTGGTGGCACAAGTACCATTGCTTCCATTTTGTAATGTAAGCTCATCTTACAAATAGAGGCTCAAGAGAGATCATAAAGCTAATAAGGGATTGGTAGAGCAAGTATCATTTCCCCCTGGTCCAGCTAGCAAAAACTCCAGTGAGTTCTTCCCTACAGGCTCCATTCAAGGAAGTACCCAAGACAGCTGAGGTCACTTCAAACCTGGCTCAGGCACTGACTCCCCAGACTATTTCAATCAATCAATCAATCAATCAACATTTATTAAATGTTTATTTATTCAATGTAAATAAGAATATTCCAACTCTGCCTCATTCATCCAATCAGAATTTATCAGGCAACTACTGAGTGCCAAGCCCGGTACTTGTGTCGTCGTTCAGTCATTCAGCCATGTCCACCTCTTCATGACCCCACGGACTCTACAGTACACCAGGCCTTTCTGTGCTCCACTATCTCCTGGAGTCTGTCCAAGCTCATGATCATTGCTTCCGTGACACTACGTATCCATCTCATACTCGGTCATGCTCTTTTCTTTTTGCCTTCAATCTTTCCCAGCGTCTGAGACTTTTCTAATGAATCCTGTCTTCCCCTTAGGTGACCAAAGTATTTAAGCTTTAGCTTTAGTACTTGACCTTCCAACAAATAGAGTTAATTTCTTTAAGTATCAACTGTCTTGATCTCTCTGCGTCCAAGGGACTCTCAAAAGTCTTCTTCAGTATCATATGAGGAAACTGTGCCCCACAGAGGCAAAGGGCTTGCTGAAAGTCACACAGGTGTTGAGTGGAGGTAGGATTCACAGACCATCCAGTCCGACCATCACCTGAACAATCATTCCCTATACATCACCCCCAAGCGGTCACCCAGCTTCTGCTTAAATACCTCAGATGAAAGGGATTCGGATATCTCTGAGTGAGGCACTTCCTTCAAATACAAATTCACCATTCTTGGCACTCCATTGGCTCCCTCTGACACCATCTAGTACCTTACTGGGCTCCTGAAAGTGCTCTAAAATGGGGGCTCTTCCCCCTCAAAGCCTGTGGGAGATGAGTTTCTGTCTCTAGCGAGCAGGAAAGTCAGGCTTCTGGCTCCTGGAGCCTGGGAGAGGAGCTGCAGGAGTGCTCTGAAAAGCACACAGGTCAGATCCCCTAGATGCCAGTGGGCCTCTCAAACCCTATCCATCCTCAGCTTTTTCTTCACTGTCTCAGCTTGGACCAGTCACAAACAACAACAAGAATTTATTAAAATCTTACTATGTACTAAGTGCCAGTGATACAAAGACAGGTAAAAATAATCCCTGCTCTCAAGGAACTCAGAATCTAACAGGGAAGACAACAGGAGAACTTTATACATACAATAAAACTTTTACACATACAAGAAAACTTTACACATACAAGAAAACTTTATACATACAAGAAAACTTTACACATACAAGAAAACTTTACACATACGAGAAAACTTTACACATACAAGAAAACTTTATACATACAAGATATGTGTGTGTATCATTGGAGGTGGTGGTTGTTTGTCCTTAGTTTTTTGGAGAAGACCAGTGACCTCACAGGGTACTATCTTGACTTCCTAATGAATTGGATTTAATCGAGGCAGTTGTGGGCAAAGTCGTCAGCCTCAATCTCCGAGTCACAGAAGTCCAGCAGCAGGACAAAAGTCAAGACAACTTGGTGATGGCTCTGGCTGAAGTGGATGACCTTGAGTCTTTGATGTCTGACCAAACTCGAAGTGCTCTGCAGTGCCTGCTTTAGCTGCCTGTGTGGCTGTTGGAACAAACAAAATATGTATGTGTATCAGATAAACTGGAGGTAAGCAGAAAGGGGAAACACTAACATTAAGGGGGATCGGGAAAGTCCCAAGCCTGTTGATGCAGGCTGAACTGAGTATAAGGCTCATTGCACAAACACCAGAGGCTCCATACCCAGCCTGGCTCTGCCGCTGACTCCCTAAACTATTTCAATCAATCAGTCAATAAACATTTATTAAGTGCTTACTTTGTGCCAGGCACAGTGCTAAGTTCTGGGATACAAAAAGAGGTGAAAGATAGTCTCTGCCTTGAAGGAGCTTACAATCTAATAGGAGAGAGAACATGCAAACAAATATATACAAAGCAAGCTACATACAGGATATATAGGAAGTCATTAACAGAAGGCACTAGAATTAAGAGGGGCTGAGGAAGAATGCCTATAGAAGGTGAGATTTTTGTTGGGTCTTAAAGGAAACCAGGGGGCAGCTAAGTGGTGAAATGGATAGAGCCTGGAGTCAGGAAGACCTGAGTTCAAATCTGACCTCAGATGCTTACTGTCTGTGTGACTCTGGACAAGTCACTTAACCCTGTTTGCCTCAGTTTTCTCATCGATAAAATGATCTGGAGAAGGAAATGGCAAATTATTCCAGTATCTTTGCCAAGAAAACCCCAAATGGGGTCATGAAGAGTCAAATTCAACTGAAATGACTGAACATCAATAACCATAAGGAAACTAGGGAGGTCAGTAGGTAGAATGGGAGAGGGAGGGTGTTCCAGGAATGGGAGACAGCCAGAGAAAATGCCCCAAGCAGACAGATGGAGTGCCTTATTCTCAGAATTGCAAGGAGTCCATTGTCACTGGATTGAAGAGTACCTGGCTGGGAGTAAGGCGTAAGAAGACTGGAAAGGTAGGAGAGGGCTTGATCCTGAAGTGCTTTGAATGCTAAACAAAACATTTTGTATTTGATGGAGTGATGGGGAGTCACTGGAGCTTACTGAGTAGTGGGGTGACATGATCCAACACACACTTTAGGAAAATCAGTCTGGTAGCTGCATGGAGGATGGGCTGGAGTAGGGAAAAACCTGAGGCAGGTCATTTCTTGACCTTGCCCCACCTACCTCTTTAGCTTCATTTCCCTTCTTTATTTTTATTTATTTATTTATTGCTTTTAGGCAATTGGGGTTAAGTGACTTGCCCAGGGTCACACAGCTAGTAAGTGTCAATTGTTTGGTCTGAGGTCACATTTGAACTCAGGTCTTCCTGACTTCAGGGCCAGTGCTCTATCTACTGCGCCACCTAGCTGCCCCATTTCCCTTCTTTAGAATGTTAAGTTCTTTGAGGGCAGGGACTGTCTGTCTGTTTATTTTTGTATTCCCAGTGTTTAGCATAGTTCCTGGTATATAATAAGCACTTAATAAATGCTTCATCTATATATAGCCATCTCTCTGTCTCTGTCTTTCTCTCTCTCTCTCTCTCTGTTTCTGTCTGTCTCTCTATCTCTCTGTCTTTCTCTCCCCCTAGCTTCTGCCAGACACTGTATACCCCATATCTCGTGATACTAAGACTGAAGTGAAGCAATTCCTGCTTTCGATGTGCCTATGTTCCAATGGAGTCGCCATTCAACCTGATAGTTCTTAAAATGTTTAAAGAAAGTCATCATGTTCTTAGATTCCTCTATTTTGATCTGCAAGAGAAACTTAGAAGCTCTCTAGTCATTTTGCAGTTGAGAAAGCACAAGCCCAGAGAAGGTGAGTGGCTTGTCCTAGGTCACACAGGTAGCAAGGAGCAGAGCAGGCCTTCAAATGCAGGTCTCCTGCTTCTGAGGCCTTTTCCCACCATGCCACTAGGACTCGAAGTCTTCTGCAAGCAAAATATCCTCTGATCCTTCAGCTACTTCTCATGCTACATGAACTTCAGCCCTCCTCCATTTTGGTCACCTTCCTCTGGACACTTTCCAGGTTACCAAGAGCTTTCCTAAAATGCAATGCACCTGACTACACATGTGTAACCTATATCGAGTTGCTCGCCATCTCAATGAGGGTGGGTGGGGAGGAAGGACGGGAGAGAATTTGGAACCCAAAGTTTTAAAAACAAATGTTAAAAATTGTTTTTACACGCAACTGGGAAATAAGATATACAGGCAATGGAGTATAGAAATCTATCCTGCCCTACAGGGAAATAGAAGGGGAAGCGATAAGAGAAGGGGATGGTGATAGAAGTGAGGACAGCTTAGAGCATGCGGTCTTGGAGTGGGGGGAGAAAATCTGGAACTCAAAGTCTTGTGGAAATGAATGTTGAAGCCTTTATTTTTTAATAAATATATAAGTAAATTTTAAAAATAAAGTAAAAAATATATACACTTTTAAAAAATAAATAAAATGCAACATACCAAACAGAAGTCAATATTCCAACTGTGATAAAACCAAGGCATAATACAGTGGGATTATGACCTCCTTATTCGTGGACAGGATGAGTCCCTTAATGCAGTTATCATTGTCTCCATTTTACCACTGAGGAATCTGAGGTGAGAAGGAAAGCAGGGTGGAGTGCTTTTACAAAGGTTACACAGCTAGGCCATAGTCAAACTGGGATTTGATGGGGTCCCCAAGAGCGGGACTCCACCGAAACAGCTGAACAACAGTGACAAAAACCCCTAACTGTAGGGGGTCTACTACACCCAGCTGCCTCTTAAAGGGCAGGAAGGGCTCTGGGGTTCTGTCTGCTTTCAGAATCCCTCCAGCTCTGGTTTCCTCCCACCATCCTCCCCCCTCCCGTTTTAGGGAAGCTTTAAGGGTGTGTGCTAAGGGTGAAGCAGGGCGCATCAAAGTGGTTGATGTCACAGCTGGGAAAAACTAATTAGTATTTATTCTATGCCTCCTCCCCTTCCTCTCCATTCCCCCTCCCCAAAGCTGGTCATTAGGCAGGAAATAATTAGACACTTGGAAGAATTATGGACAGGTTCCCCTGGGCATGGAAGGGCAGGATTTTAGGAATTCTAACTGGAAGCTGACCAGGAAGCGAGACTTGGGATGTGTCTTGGGGGGGGTAATGATGATTCATTCAGGATTGTAGGGGAAAGTAAAGGTTGTAGAGAAGAAATCAGATGGGAAAGGAGGGAATGGAGACCCCCACACTAATCCCCATAGTTTCATACCCCTTGTTCTGAAGAAAAAAACTGAGGTTGTCATTAAAAGCATACTACCCAAAATGGGAACCCGCACCTCTGCTTTTTTCCTTAATTGTAGCTTGGTCAGGAAGATTTGAGCATAGGGTATATTTGGGGAGGGGAGGGACAATGGAAGGAGATCAGATCAGAGTAGGGACAAATATGCATCTTTAAAGCCAGCAGGGAAAGGTTTGATGTGGAAGGGGGAAGGAGAGGTCAGATGGCCAAAGGTTAATGTCCTAGGCTTGAGCCTCAACAGATTATCTCCAGTCTGCCCTCAGACAAACTGAGTTGAGATAGATCATCTATGGATGACTGGATAAATAGATAAGTAGGTAGGTAGACAGACAGATAGATAGATAGATAGATAGATAGATAGATAGATAGATAGATAGATAGATAGATGGATAGACAGATGGATAGATAGATAGATATAACCACAGAACAAGTAAAGGAAAACAATGAAACATCACATCACTCGCTCCCAGTCTAGGACCAATGGGAAGAGCCCTCATCTTCTAGCCAGCCAATCTGGCACCACTGTCCATCTTGGGATGACTACCCTTCCCCCAAACACTTTCCTCAACCCACAAACGGGAAGTATGCAGCTGTGTGTATCCCTGGGTGTGCTTATGTGAGTGTGTTTGGATATCTGTGTTATTTCTTGGTGCCGCCTTAGCGGCAGTATGTCTGTTTCTACCAGTGTCAGTAAGCGTGGGGATGTCTGTGAGTTTGTGTCTGGGTGTCTGAGTGAGTTTGTATGAGTGCGTCAGTGAGTTTTTGTATATTACTGTGCGCACTGGTTACTGAATGTGTCTTTGTGAATAGACATTCACGGACGTGTCTATAGGAGGAGCCTGTCATCATGCAAATAGGGCCGGACCTGGAATCAGACAGACCTGAGTTCCTATCCTGCTACTGACATTAATTTTGTGACCCACTGGCAGTTCACTTAACCTTGAAAAGCTTCACTGTTCTCATCTGGAAAATGGGGATAACGCCTGCAGTGCCTCGCTCTCAGAGTGCTTATGAGGAACAAGTGAGATAGTATTTGTAAAGTGCTTTAGAATCTTAAGTCGCTACATAAATGTCAGCTGTTGTGCGTGTGCGTGCGTGTGTGTGTGTATGTGTGTGTGAGCGCAGACAGACTGGGATGGAGGATCCCCGGAGGGAAGGGGAGGGGAAGAAGAAGAGGGAGGGGGAGCGGGGGGAGGGAGGGAGGGAAAGAGGGAGGAGGGGAGGGAGAGGGAACGTCACCGAGACAGACCCGGAGAGGGAGCGGAGCGGCCGAGGGAGGCGGGAGGCGGGATGGAGGGGGGGAGGCAGGGAGGAGGGAGGGAGGAGGGAAGCAGGGAGGGGGAGGGCTCTCCGTGGCCCCACATAACCTTCGCTGAAGCCCCACGGCCCCGCAGAGCCGCCGCCAGGGCCGGCCTCTGGCGTCGCCGCCGCCGCCGTATTTTCGAAAATGCAATTGTCCGCCGAGGTGCCGAGAGTCCGGGCCCTGCGGGAGCTTTGGTGAAAGCGACAGCTCGGGAGCCAGCGGCGCGGGGCCCGGGAGGGGCGCGGGGCCCGGAGAGGCAGCGCCCGGGCGGCCTGGAAGGGCACGCCGCGGGGAGAGGTGAGTATCCGGGACCCGGTGGGCGGGCGGCCGAGCGAGCCTCCGGCCCCAGCCTGCCCCGGAGCCGGCGGAGTCGGGCCGGGCCGGGCCGGGCTTCGGGGCTGCGGCCCCCCCCTCCCGCGCGCCCAGGGCGGGGCTGGCGAGCGGGGGTGGGGGGCCCCGGCGCGGGGGGGGGGGCGGCTGCCGCTGCCCGGGCACAAAGGGCGAGGGCCCGAGGTAGGGGGGCGGGGTGGGGGGCCCAGGAGATCCGAAGCCTGGGGGAGCTGGGCTGGGGCAGGAGGAGGAGAGGAGAGAGCGGCCGACGGGGCAGGGGAGCCTGGGGATGGGAAGCTGGGGCGCCCGGAGCTCCGGCAGCACCAAAACCCCAGCACCCACACCTGCTTTCGGAGAGACCAGAAACTGGGGCCCCGGCAAGCTCTCTTGGCCCTACTTGCGATTGTTGCTCTTGGGAAGAGAAGAGGCAAGGGAAAGGAGGGGGAGAAGGAGAAGGGGGGATGGGGGAGAAAGGAGAGGGAAAGGGGAGACAGAAAGATGGAGAGGAAATAGAGGGCTAAAGACGGGAGTAGGGGGAAGGGGGGGAGGGGAAATAGATGGAGGGAAGACAGGAGAGGGGCTTAGAGGGGAAAAGAGGGGAGGGAGAAGAAGAGAGGGAGCGAAAGAGTTCTAGCTAATGCTAAGCATCTTGCCAGTTCAGTGTTTCCAACCTCTTTCCCCACTCCAGACCAGTATAAAGAGGTTTGCGAAGGCTACTGGGAAGAGGATGGAGGCTAACTCCCAGAGTTAGCCCTAGGCCAGGTAGAGTAGACACCCTTCCCCCAAACACACCTAATCAAAGTCTGGGCCAAAGGCGGGCGGGGGGTGGAAGAACAGGTATCTAGAGGGTGCTGGAAGGGGGAATGAAGGAGAGTTTTGCCCTGTCTTGCCTCCTGCAGGACTGCCCTTGGGGAGAAGGGGGACTGGGAGGAAGATGGCACAATCTCATAGGGTGGAGCCTTTGAGATGAAACTGAACTGTGGGCACCAGCAGAATATATGCTGGGGGTGCTCCATGAGATCAGGTCACTGAGGCTAGGGTGAACGAATCAGATAGGGCTAGAGCAGAGATGGCTGAAGGCGTAGGGGTAGTGGAGAGTAGGCTAGGAATGACAAGACAAGGAAGGGGCCTGCATTTCCTCAGCTTCACCCCCATACTCTATTTTGGGACATCCCCTCGCCTAATAGGCACGTGGGAACTATTGGAAGTCAGGTTTTGCTTTCTTTAAATTGGGTAGGGGGTATTGAGGATGGGAGGAGTTTTGAAATCTCCAGGAAAAAAATTTTTGTTCCCTTCCTGCACCCAGACTAGGTTTCTTCCGAAATTTTCCCTTGATCATGATGAACTTGAATCAAAGTCACCCAAGCACTTGAAACCAGGGAAGCCGGGAACCAGGACATTTTGGTTCCCTTGTAAAGAAGCAGCTGGGCCCAAAGGGCTGTGCTTCCAGCCCAATACAGAAGTGGCTTCTTGGATAATCTTCCTCAAAGAAGATTGAGGGGAGGGGGTGTCAGGAAGCTCTAGAATGGGTAGTCCTTCAGGCAGGTCTCTAGCTGGCTGCTCTAAGAACCCACACCTGCTGGGGATCACAGAGTGCCAGGGACCATGGTGGGCAGCCCTTGTAGAGACAGGAGCTAGGGAAATGGGGGCTGGTTGGGAAGAAGGATGAATTAGAGAAGAAAGTTGGGTTGGGGAGGACTAGGGCTGGGGTGGCTGAAGTAGCTGGGCCCTCCTCTCTCCCCTGTCATTATGGCTCCTCTGCAGTGTATTTATAGTGCCCTGAGGTTTACTTAAAGGAACACGCCCTCCAAAATCTGCTATAAAAAGGAAAAATGGCCCCTTATTCCAAAGCTCACGTAGCACTTTTAAAGAGACAGGGGCCTTTTTATAATCTGCTCTGGCCAACAAAATCTTAAAATGGGGGGGGGGGCAGCTGTCTTATTCAGTCAGAAAGCTTCTATCACTTTGGGTTGGGGGTGGGCAGGAAATCTGTTCTGTCTCATTTCCCAAGTCCCACTCCTACTCCTTAGTTTTTCTGTAACAATTTTCTTAGCTTCCTCATTCTCCTAGCTCTGCTGTGACACACAGACACACTGATACACAGGCGCACAAAGTCCCACTGACATAGCTAGATGAACACGTACAGACCTAGAGACATACACCAACATGGACACCCAGAATCACAATTAGACACATGTAAGGACACAGTTAGTTACGTACAGCAACATAGAGTCACATAGACTTAATATTCACATCTGCTCAACAAGCATTTTTTAAGTATTTGTGCTGGACAGTGCCCTGGGTGCTAGGGAATGCAAAGACAAAAGGAAAAAAGACTTCCTGCCCTCAAGGAGCTTCCATTCAATTCTGTGTGTGCCAGAAAGGAAAGAAAGTAATTGAAGGAGAAAGGGCATTGACCAGAGAGAGAAGTACTCCAGAGCTGAGACTTAAGGGGCAGTTGGGGGGAGGGAATTCATTCTGGACCCTGGATGGAGGCCAGATTTTGGGGAAGAGCTAGTAGACTTGTTTGGCTGGGAGGTAGAGTGGGTGGAGGTTCATAATATAGGATAAGGCTGGAAAGGTAAACTGAGTCACATGGTGACTGTAAACATGTGAGCAACATGTATGTCATTTGTGGCAGTCACATAGACATGGACACCCATACAGACACATCTGAATATAGTCACACATAGTCATAAGAACATACAGTCACCAGCATTGCCATAAAGACACCGAGACATTGTCATTTAGTGATATACACACAGACCTCCACAATGACACGCAGACAGAGAGTCATAAACACTAAATGCTGACACATAGTTGTAAATAATGATATAGACAAACTGATGTATAGGCACCCACCCAGAGTTCTGTCTGTAAATGTTCCAACATGTGCAGACTGGACACACTGACTACTGACCCTACAAGGTTCTTGACTTAAATCCTCCTTATACTGCTAGGTGCCTCATCCTGCCTCAGCTTCTTCAAATCTGACCTGGGGGTGGAGGAGAGGGAGACCCCAGAGGCAGGCAGGGAGAGAGGAGTCAGCTATCTCCCCTCCCAGCTCCACAACCCCTTCTCCTATGCCTCAAGTAATATCTGAGGATACAGAAGAGGGACGCCCCCCCAACTGAACTTCCTTCAGGAGGAAAAGAAAACCTAAAGGAAGAAGGAGTGGGGGGAGTTGAAAAAAAAAAGTACCTGGTGGGCTTTCTTCCTTTATCCCTTCAAACGCACGGCCTTCCCACTAGGGGAGTCCCAGTAACTTTAGCTAGCCTCAATTTCCTTCCTGGTCCGTGTCAAAAAATTCCCCCATCTCTCCAAGGCACTTTCCTCATTCCCATCTTAGGACATTTCCAAGAAAGATGAGCCAAAGTCTGGTCTCTACTTTGGGACTGAATATGAGCTCTTCCCTTCCCTTCCATACCTACTCCACCCCTCCCTTCTGAAATTCAGAGGGATGAAAAGCTGGAGGGGGAAGGCAGATAGTGGGAGTGGGGCTGGGGCCTGGCTGGGGCTGCTGGTAACCTGAGAGCCCGACGGAGGAGCAGGTGTCAAGGAAATGAGAAGCCGCCAGCTCTGTCTAGACAGCCACGGACCATTAACAGCTCTTCCCCACCAAACCTCCCCCCCCCCCAGCACACACATGGGGGCGACCCTGGAACTGGCCCTCCTCTGCCACTCCCCCCACAATGGGCTCTTTGTCTTCTTCCAGACTCTCTCACATACACTTAGGCTCACAGAGACGTACAGGTACACACACACACACACACACAAACACACACACATACACACAAGATACACAAACATATAGACACAGGCACAAATACAATTCTTCACAGACACACACAAAATACTTTTGCTCTGTCTCACAGCAAGATGCCAGACACCATCTATTGCCTGAATCTCTCAGTATGCCTCTGACCTCTGCCCTTTCTCCCAGGCCCTTCCCCCACCTTGCTCTTCAACTTGGAGGCTGAGCTGCCATCTGTGGCCTCAGGCACAGCCATGTTTCTTACTCTCACCTCTGACCCCTGAATCCCAAGCCCTCATCAGCTGCCCCCTTAGGCCTAAGAGCTCCCATGGCCCCCTCCCATTCCTCCCACCAGGACCTAAAATTGGTCTTTGACCCCTTTCACTGGACTCCCTGGCCCTTGGAACCCTGAAATGAGAACACACATGGGCACTCCCCCTTCCTGCCCCAGGCCCATGATTGGGGCCTTCTTTAACTAGTCCTCGGGATAGACCGATTTCAGAGCAGGCTGTGGTGGGGGGGATGTTCCCAAGTAATTTCTGTTCCCCACACTGGCCTCTACTCCCTTTCTCCTTCTCCTGTAATTGTCCCAGTCTGAGGCCAAAGGGATTTTTTTGCTTGGGGGTGGAAGAGAGAACAGAGCCTCAGGAAGCTGGAGCAGGTAGGGCGGGGAGTGGTGGGGAGGGAGGGAAATTGCTGGGAAAGAGATTCAATTCTGGGCTTCAAAGCTGAACAGATAGAGACTGATGGACAGCTCCATACAGACATGCACACATAGTCAGAGGCAAGCAGAGACTCAGACAGCTGTAGGGGACAGATGGACCTATAACTTTTTTGCCATGTGGCACAGGAACAGACTTGGGAAAGGTAGGCCTTCCCCTACCCCCCCCCCATTCCTCCTGCATTGTAAATGGCATTCAGCCACCCACTCCAGCCTGCCCACACAGTGGTCCTCTCTGAGAATCCAAGACCACACAGTCTGGCCATAGGACTGTCAGAGTGGAGTAAGAGGAGGGGGTGGGACAGTTC